TATATAAAAGTTTTAAATATATTTATTTTTATATATATAACAAACAATTAACTCTACTTGAGAAGAATTCATCATAGGATTTGCAACAAAATGGAGAATCACTTCAACTGTAAACTCCTTATATTTCATAAGGAATCATGGCCCCTCCAACACCAATCACTGCAGTGCTATTGTACAACTACTTTTTAGACCATATTTACGGTGACTATTCTCACACTCTAGAGTGTTCCTGCCCATCTCATAAGGATTTTCATTTTGTCCAATGTCAGCTAAACACACACTGTTGAATTTTTTTCTGAAGAAAAACATAACTTAAAAAGATACGTGTAATTCATACCTTTTGGGAGTAGTTGTTTGCTTTTTCCATTTCAGACACAATAACGGTGATATCATCACTTTCAAAAATACCTGATAATCAAATATATGCTAATCAGTGTGGGTTTTTTAAGTGTACAGAATACATCTTTTTTTAAAGAGTAGAACAATTTGTAGAGCATGCCAAATATCAATGAAAAAAATCAAAAAGCTTTTGTTTCCTGTATGCCAGGCAGTCTGGATGTACCACGTTAGTAACTATATTTTAAATGTGCATCGTTAAAATACCTAGCAGAAAACAGTGAATTCAAACAGGAAAAAAAATAAAATTCCTGCATTAAGGCTGCATTATAATACTCTGCAATACAAGCAAAGGACTCAGACCTCTTTATCTCAGTGCTAGTATAGCATTATCACACCCTAAGAAGTAAACTACTTGATTTGGGGGAAAAATAAGCATTAATAAATATTATTTAATTAATGAACAAGTATGTGCTGACTTTCCTTTTCACATACCTGCTTCTCCAAACCAATGAAATCTCCCATTGGCTGCCCGTACTATTTCTTTAAAAGCAGTGGCAGTTTCAATTGGGTTAGCGTAGCGAGCTGGAACAATCCCACTGGAGTCAACGTCCTCCATTACACTGAACAGACAGACATGAAGCTGCAAATCAAAACCTCTGCAAACCTCACCCACGTAAGCGCTGACTGTGTGCTGTAAGACAGAGAAAGAAAGGAGAAAAAAAAAAAGTCAGTAGCGACCCTCTACCTCAGATGGGCTTCCATCTACTCCACTGGTTCCTGAACTGATGTACAAATACTCCCAACCTGAGCAATTCAGTACAGGAACATACCCTGAGTAGCTGAATGCCTCCTCAAATCATGCATATACACAAAACCTGTCGCTATTACTAGTGACAATGGCAACAGCATTACTGCAGCCAAGAAGTGAGATGGGGTGGCTATGGGAATCAAAGACACAGGTCATGGCCTTTGAAGTAGCCATGCACTGAAGCAAATAGGGATGCATTCGGCTTTTTTTTTTTTTTTTTTCCATTTTCTTGTTATCCACATGGGCTTTTAATGATTTCTTACGTTTGCCCAGAGTTTCCAGGAGTTTGGTAACAAAAGCAAGAGACACCCTACCGTACATGCATGGTTACTCCGGTTGGACTACCATATGTTCAGGAACTCTAGGCTGTGCATGTGGCTTAACACCCACAGAGCGCATGCACTAGGAATGTATATCAAAGCAGTGGATTACTGTTATTAAAAACAGGAGCTGTCTCTACATAGTGTACTATGGAGTTCCACTGCAAAATTATTTGTGGCTTTGTTCCCATGAGTTATAAGGAAATGATATCATACGAAAAAACAGAGTTGGGTTGTTCAAACTCAGAAATCTGTAGTGAAATGATGCCCAGAGCTGGAGTGGGAAAGGAATCCTAAAAATACCTCCTGAATTTTCTACAATTCATGCATATTAATAATTGCTACCTCCAACACATAGATAGTGATTGCAGAAACGGAAGTTTGAGACCCTGACAGTTGTGCTGGCTTAGATATGTAAAGAAGTAGTCTGTCAACAAGCTATAGAAAAAAAACAACCAAACACCTTACAGAAGAGTTGCAAAACCCGTGATGACACTTACCGTTTCCTGATCAGGTATTCCAGTAGTCAGCATGTAAAGTCCTTGCGATTTGTGTTTATCTTTGTCTTTGAAGTCTACTTCCACAGCTCTCCTGAGCGCACTCATGAAATTTCTACTCCCTTTGCACTGCAAGCTCAACACCCACCTAAAAAGAGATGTTTACAGTTCAAAGAATGAAGCAACAAAAGCTTTTGTTTCTGCTTAAAGCAATAAAGACAAATAAGAATCTTAAATAACACTGCACTGGAGTCTAAAATTTTTGATAATGACAGAGCAAAAGTAGATTATATACTGACCCAAATTACTTGTTCTAGTTTCGGTACTGCCATCATGGCAAACTAGTTTTTTAAGGTAGATTCAGAGCATAGAGATGAAAATTCTCGCTTAGATTTATGTGGGAAAGTAGAACTTACAGGAATAAAAATGAAGCCACAGAGTGTATGACTCCACAAACAGAAACTTGGGATTTGTTTCCAGTGTTATGGGGGGAAAGAAAAACCATAATTTAGCGTTCAGATCCCACTCGAATTCAAAGCAGTTTTCAATTCTTTATGTAACCTCTGCATTTCTTAAACAGACATTTCTGTATCTGTGTACATATATATTCTGTATACACACGAAATACAAAGTCACCAAGACATTAAACTTTATAATGCTGTTTTCACAACAAACCATCATGAAAAATCATTGTAGAACAGTTCATGGCAACCTATTTTTGTAATATGATAAACTTATCAATTTTCTTAATTGTTTACAATGCTGTTTAAATCTGTTTCTCTGTTTTATCTGTTTCATGGTACCTATGACCATTGAATTCAGATGTACAGGAAAGTTATTTGATCGTACCTCCAAGCATTTTGTAAGTTTTCTGGTTGGGCAGGAACCAGTTCCAGCTGCCAAGGCACGACATCACTCCCAAATCTTTCATGGAAAGATAACAGCAATTTATTTTCAGATTATGCTTTAGAACAAGCAAAAAGATAGAATAAATTCACTGAAAACAAAAAATTTCATTTGGGATATTACAGATGTAAAATTGCGTGATGCTAACTATTTTCTATTTCAAACCATTTAACAATTCACACTTATCCATCACTCAGGAGTTGTCAGATTTTCAAGGCAGTGGGTCAAATTACATTTTTCTTTCCTGAACAAGATCCTAAGCGAGCTGGTAAAAGCTCAGCGGAAGGATTGCCACAAAAAATCCCCAACCTTCAGATGCTGCCTGTATCTCTCTTATGAGGTAAGGGCTCTGTTTTCCCACCAGGTTTGGACCTCCATGAGCTGCTGTCTCTTGCTTTTACCTGCCAGTGAAAACCCTGCCCAGCTGCTGTTCAGTGCTGCACCATGTTTCTGACTACCAGTCTTGAGTACAGAATTTTAATACTATTACTTATTAAAAAAGAATTGGAGTTGCTGTAAAATTTAAAGGGTGTTCTCTGTTACGGTACCTGAGACACCAAAATCCTCTTCCAGTAAGTTTCTGACACGTGAATTAATACTGTTATGAACAATATAGCAGGATGAAGATTTGTTACAGGTACGATGCAGTTCCAGTGAGCCTCACCCCCAAGAGTGATTTTTAATTACTAATTTAATTACTAATCTGGTCTCTGTACATCTGATCCATGCATTTATCCAATAACAACAAATCAGTGCTATTCTTGCAATTACTTCATCAGAAAACATTAAAAACAATTAAAAAAATCTAAAATATGTCCATTAATAACTACAAGCTCTCAGCATACTTCTTTCATTGCAATGCATTACAATTATTTTAAAAAAAATCTTAAATAGTGGCTTACGCTATAATATTGAAGTAATCCTTATCTGACATCTGTTCCTCAAGTAAAAGTCGCAAAGCATGTTGGATATGGATGATGTACATAGAGTTTGTCACTGATACATCAACAAGTATAACGACCCTATATAAGAAATATGTTATTCATAAAAAACAAAAAAAATCTTATCTAATTACATGTTCTTATCTTCACTGTACTCTAACTTTCCAGGGAAAGTATCTTCTAGCTATATATTAAAATGTATAAACACTGAATCTATATTTTAAAAAAATCTGCAAAACATAAGGTGAGATTTTAAAAAAATATAGTAACAATAACAGAAAATTTTATCTTTCTTAAGCTATGCAATAATCAGGATACTGCCACACACAGTGCCATAATGGCTGTTGAACCCTGAAAAGGTCCTCTTTCTTCTCTGTACTTGAATATCCAAAACACGCCTGAAACGTGTGGATGTTATCCAATAAGAAGAGTGGCTGGATAGTTCATTGTCCTTTCCCCAGCCATCATTCCAGGAACACATGTAGTATCACTCCAAAGATAAACGGTAAGTTTTCTCCCAGCAAGTCAGGGACGGACTGGTTGCTCAGGTATGGACTGACTGATGTTATCTGACACATTACCTGTTTTGAGAAAAAGCGTTAACAATGACCTTCTTCAGTACAGTCCGTATTAAGTCTTGCTTGTAGAGACAGTGCAGGATGGTTTCAGTTAATGGACAGGGGATATCTTGGGAGCAGTGGTTATGAAAAGAATCTTAGGGGTTTTTTACTGTATCTGCACTGACATTTGTAACCTGGCACTAGAATGCACTTCAAGGTGGCAGAAGGTAGTTGGTAGGTCAAATCTCATCTTCTGGTAAGAACCCATGAGAAGCTGTGCAGAAAAACTCTAGGTGTAAGTACTAATAGCATGGATTTGGAAAGCCAATTGTAAACACTGCCTTTGGCCAAAAACATCAGGTTCTGTTTATGTGTGATTTAAGATCGAACATTCCCCAAAGGCTGACTTGATAGATAAATCAAATTTAAAAGTCTCATCCTGTCTCATGGAAATTGCAGGTTTGTGTCGACCAATGATCACTGGATTCATTAAATTCACTGGATCATTAAAAAAGCTGAATATCAATATCTGTTTTTGAAAGTGGATTGCTTACACTGGTCATATCTGCAACTATTGTCTCTACATCTGACTGTTTTCTGTCCTGTATTCCTTGGTGCTGCCTTACACACAAAGCAAAGGCTGGCAAACTAGAACCATCACCAGTACACAAAAAAGGGCTATCAAAGTACAATACCTCCTTTCACAAACACTTCCCCATGTTCTTCTGCTAGCAAGAGATAGCCAGTCAATTCGTTTCTCATAGATTCCTACCATTTCAGCAAGGAGTTTCTACGGATAAAATACAGAAAATTTATGTTCAAAATAAAAAGTTCAAGTCAGTCTTTTATTGCCAAATGCTTAATGCATTTGGCTGTAACATGACAGCATAGTAATAAAAAAACCTAATAATTTTCATTCATTTTGAGAGAAGCATTTCACTCTTAGTAAATATAGTCCATGAGATACTCTCATTTCACTCTTAGAATATAGTCCATGAGAAAAACAGACAATGATAAAAGAGCAAGAAAGGGTCTAAAGGTCTAAACTCTCCTCTTTTCCCCTTGCTAGTGTGTTCCAAAATAGCAGGCAGGCATATTAAAAAAAAGAAAAAAAAACAACTTCAAAAATACAGTTTTTGCAAGCTTACCATTTCTTCAATAGCATTTTTAGGCAGTGTTCATAACAAAACACATCATTTAAAATAAAGACAGTATTTTCAAACAGAAATCATTAACACAGTATCAATTTGAAGACATTAGGCAATTTGTCCAAACTCTATAGAACGCGACCTTTGCAAGCATATGTATGTATGATATGTATATATTATTTACATGTTATATACATTATATGTCCTTTTGACCAAGGAGGAAATCCTCAAGAATCACTACTGATATACGTGCGTGTGTGTGTATATATCTATGTATGTATGTATCACTACTTCTTCCACACTTAAAAGAGTGAAGGTAGTCCTCAAAGATCCTCAATACCCCATATAGTGTAAATGTTCTCCTGGTGTGCCAGTAGTTTCAAGGTTATCTTTATAGTAGTATCACCATGGCAAACATCCAAAAATCCTAACATCTCCGACCTCATAGTGTTCTTAATTCATCTTTAAGCTTAAGGAGAAAACTCTATAGCAGCCTCGCTATCCTCTTGAAGAAAGTCTGGCAACTATCAGCCTGAAGGCAAATGCAAAGCAGCACGGTGTAAGTTTGTGCAGCCAGTTCAAAAGGTGAATGTAAGGGATGGCAGAGAGCAGAGTGCAATGTAGCTCAAGGCAGATAGAAGGAAAGGTAAGTAGATAGATAGAGTGTTATCTTAGACACTCATGTTATCTATTCTTTAAACTGAATGGCCAGCCTGTTGTGCTTAACACAATTTCAGTTGTGCTTAACACAAATGAACATGTCTTGGAATAAAAAGCTGCTCTGACTTGAGACAATGCAATCAATACTTAAATCAAATCTATTATCTGTAAGGTATTTTACTGTTCTTGAATTCATCAGTGACACCATCTACAGTATTGTTTGTAAGCTCCTCTCTTTTAAAGCTTCCCTTTAGACAGACACCAAAGCCATTGCCACCTGTATAGTGCAAAACTAATTTACTTGCTAAAAAGATACCCAAAGAAAAATTCACATATATTACCAGAGACTCAGCCACTGAGATATCCTCTTGTTTTGCCGCTCAATTACAATTTAGGGCACCATGCATGCCATCCAAAAGACACGGTTACCTGGCCTACTTTCCATCTGCCACATTTATCACCAACATCTATCCCTCTGTCTCAAGTGTGGGCCAGAGTACATAGCTGGATGTTTTTCTACTTCTAGTATTGTCAAATCATTTTTACTGACCCCTTCAATCTTCCAAGGCAAACTCCACATTGCTTGCTAAGGAAATTACTGGGATCTCTCAAGGCCTGAAAGACTATTGAGAAACAGCCTTTATACATATAGTTATAGACTGGAAGGCATGGAGTACGGATTTTATAATTATTACACAGATTTCTCAAATTAGATGGGTCAATATGTATCATCGGACAAACCTACTTTTTTCTGAATTCTAGCCAGCTTTCTGAGCCTACCTAACAGAGTGTGCTCAACCTTCTTTAACCCTTTCAGGAAAATAGTTTCCCACTAATTTGCTGCTAACTAATAGCAAATAAGACTTAAAAGCTTCCATTCTGTGATTGCTACTTTTTGCCTCAGGATGAGAGCAGTTCTTGTCTTGCTGTTACTGCAGAATGTCGAGCTCTAGATCTGAAAGCACTGGGTGTCTCTGCTCATCATACCATGTAGCACAATGACACAATCCTCTTGTTTTTTCCCCAGGATTCAAACCCTTCCACAGTATTTCACCTCACATACTGAGCTGCAAAAACAAAGCTGCAGCATCCACTGTCCACATATGCCCAGCTAAACCTGAAGAGTGTAGTTTGCTCATATCACACTCACTTTGGAAGAAGAAAGAGAAAAAAAACAACCCACAAGCCTCCATGCAAGCTGTAGATGAAGGAAACAAACTAGAATTATTTAGGAGAACGTGGTCTGGAGCGCTATGCTAGCACAATTTTCAGAATTCACATTAAGTATAAAGAACAGTTGAGCATATCCTAAAACATGAAATACAAATACCCAGCTTCTACTGACACTTTAGAGTAAAGCAAAACATATGACAACTGTCTATAAAGCAAGTAGAAATAATTTCTGCTTTCTGACTCGTAAAAACAGGTTGGTTATGCCAAAAACATTTCAGGACAAAAATAATTTGTCCTTGACATTCACATTAGCAAAACCATATTCTGTCTAAATGCATGGCAGAAGTGTGTAGGAACACCATCAAGGCTACAATGCTACTCTTAGTAAAAGTGCCTACTCTTAGTAAAAGAGTGAAGTACTGCTGATGTGACCATTGCAGAATATTACCATTTGGCAATCATGAAGAACTTACTAGATTTGGATCTCATCATTTTACAATAGACACTACTGGCTACTTCCCATATGGAAAGGGTGAAGGATCCACAGTGAAAAGTCTAATGTGATGTCTATGATCATCTGATTCAGTTGCTGAATTCAGAATATAGTCCAAGTCCTACTGGACTCTCTATATGGATTGTACTACATTACTGGTCTTAAGGTATTACAGCAAGGTTTCAAACAGAAGGAGAGTGGGTGCTGGATGCTGTAGGATCCACCCCAAACTACACAAGAGAAAGAAACTCTCATATAGATACACATCTGAGGGTGGTCTAAGTTGCCATGATAGGAAGATGCTCTGATTTGCTGCTATGTGATGTGCCTTTGCACATACTTTCATATCACACAACATCTTTCAAGTCATGCAACAATCATCCAAGCTTGCTCTGACGCTACTTCCTAGAATGTTCCTGCTATGCCTTGAATCCTTCTTGGTCTAGCCAGTAACAATTAGACTTTCTTCTTCTTCACAAAACTAGTTTGACTTTCAAAGAGATAAAACAAAATACAAACCTTTTTTTTTTCAAATGGTTAAACCAAGATGAAATGGGACAGTTCTGTTAACGCAAACAGGAGTACTCTACTGTGTTGCATCCTTTCAGTGTACGGGCTAAAGGATTCATACATATGTGTGTAAAATAATGTAAATTAATTCTTACACACAGATTACAAAATACACACTGCTGTATTTATGAGCAGCACTGACAGGCTCTTTCTCTTGCTTAGCCTCCTTCCTCACTACCATAGGATTCTGGTTCCCAAGTCTAATGAGATCACTGCAGACAGCTGTCTGCACATGAATCCCTGCAGTACTTATTTAACAGGACAATGTGGAATAATTAGACGGTAATCTAGCCCTGACAAGGCCCTATCACTATAGACAACTCACCTGATAGTTGTATAATGCTGGCAAGTCAACGTGGATATTTTTCACAGTTCCATCATACCATTCAAACTGCACCATTGCTTTCTAGAAGGACAAATAATACAGTTCTGTGTTTACAGAAGCATATATAAGCTACACTAACATGGAATTCCTCCCTGAATCACTCTTAAGAATAGTGTAAGTATCTGATTTGAAACTACAACTCAAATTTCAGTTAAAGTCTGTAGAATTTCACTACTTTTAAAGTACTGATTTTAATTAGAAAAATGTAGCAATAGAAAGAAAAAACAGAAAAAAAAAAAGAAAAAGAAAGGGTCCCCATCACTTACCTCATGCAGAGTTGAGGATACTTTTTTTTTAAGAATAGGTACAAATTCTTCCACAGGAGAGAAAGCATTGGGTGCCAAAACTTGATAAAGGTTTAACTTTTTAGCTATAGCAAGGAACAGAGAAATGAAATAAAACACATGCTCTGTCTTTAATTCATGTTTCATACCTGTTAAGCTTTTCTTTCTGTGCTACCTTTCAATCCATTTGTCTTTAACCAGTCTGTTGAGGTTTTGGCTAGCACGCATGGCGTTTGAATAACTAATGGTCCTTCATGCTTTGGAGGTTTTGGTAAGAAGTTGGAAGGTGCTGTATTTGCAAATTCTGTGGAAACCTGAAATGGATTTTAAGAAAAACTCTTGCAAGTTTTAGCATAATTTTTTTTGTACCCTCAATCCTAAATATCCAGGATGGAATATTAGTTTTACATATGTTCACCAAAGTGCTGGGATTTCAACAAGCAAAACACTTTGAAAATAGCTATCATTGGTTGTCCTAAAAATGGGGTTTGGGGAACAATGTTCCATTAACTTCACTGTGCTTGCCACAATGCAACATCATGTTTATACATACTGGCACGAAAACCGCCAATCATTTTTCTAAGAGAAGTAAGGAGGAAAAGGATCTTCATCACACACAGATCAAATCTTGACCGCTCCATTTTCTACCTGCACTGAGCACAGAGTCAAATGACCCACATTCTACCTTCATTCACACCAATGGAAACAAGTCAACAAAAACTCCTACAGGCACTAGTATTCCTTTATTTCAAAAAAAGGGTAAAAAGGCACAAAAAAATAGAAACATTACCAAGACAACTGTTACAGAACAAATGGTGCCAAATCCTCATAAGACAGGACTACCACAGAGACAGATGTGTAACAGCCAGCCTGTAGCTTCCTAACTTCAACACTAGTATTAGATATAGAAAAGACCTTACGATTTTGCAACTGATTTAAGTTTAATCAGGTAGGAATAAGTATCTTTTTACCAATTTAAAGGACTGTTGGAACTTCATTTAAGTGAACATGCGTACAGTTAGACTAGTGAACATGCATACAGACTAGCGATTCTCTTAGATTTCTGTTATGATCATGGTACAATGTTCTTTTCATTGCATTTTGGTTGGTTTATAAACTTGCTGCATTTTGGAGAACATCTAGCAAAATGTCTCCTTTACTGGTTTTGGCCTTAATTTGCTCTTACGATGGATGCCCAATACATAATATTCAAAGTTCACTTATCAAATTACCTGATTAATCATATAAATGTTTTTCATATTGTGAACACTAAAAAATTTCTAACCTTGATACTTCAAAGTACATCTGAAAATAAAAAGATACATACATCTGCTATTCTACCAACAAGTGAGCCACCAATTCTTCTTTGAAGAGTCTGTTTGATGCTCTTGAGTAGGTCCTTAGCCTTCCGGGACTCCTGAAGTAGCAGATGAAAATCACTGCTATCAAAGTTCTGTACATTAAAAAAGAAACAAAAGGGGGAAAAGCAAGTTAACCGCTATCCAAACACCAACCAAACACAGCTTTCTTCCTTTGATGTGCATACATCTATACAAGACTGCCTGGCATAGCAGAATTGAGTGTAAATATATCTAATGCACTGCATATAAGTTATTCATCATTTTATAAACAAGACATTATTTTATTATTTTGAATCAGTCTACAAGAAGCCACTGCTTTCATCCTATTCATTAGCGTTAAGTCAGTAAAAAATATCGGCAAAATTTATTGTGCTTTTAGGAAAGCATTTTTAGTTGCAGAAAGAATTAACCACAGGTTTATTGACCACATCCTCAGCATAGAGACTTTCAGCACCAGGCCTTGCTATAAACTTCTACTCAGATGATAGTTAGTTTACCTTCTCAAAATGAAGAATCATCAAAAAGAGAGAAAAATGCTTTGCCTCTCTAGATGTCACCTACCTCTCCCTTTGAAGAGTAGCAATGATAACGGCCTCTTACAGCTTCTGCAAGGTGCTTTAGAACTGCCTACATATACAAATAGGAAAAAAATAAGTTATTTTGATGTGGTAGCCTCTTTTGATAGCATGGGTTGTTGGTATTCAATTCTCAATTAGAGATAGAATCTTTGAGGTACATATAGTAAGAAAGCCAAAGTAATTATGTTTCCACTGTTTTCTTACCAGCCTCATTTTAGTACGACTGAAAAGCTAACTCAGTACAGAAATTTACAAAACAGGCCACAAAGATCTAGTTTATTCACCTTGTGTTAAAGTGCCAGTCGCTTTCTCTTCCTTTGAAGGCAGGCTGGTGCTAGTCAGATCAAAGTCTACAAGTATAAAGATTAGGCTGCTCTTCCCCTGCCCACAATTACTTCTTAACCTTTGCTGCTTTTTTCACCTCTGCCACCTCCTTCTCTCCTACTGTCTACCACTGCAATCCTTTTCTCCACGACCACGATACCCTTACTGCATCTAATCTTCTCTTCAAACCAGGATTTCAACCGTGTCCTCTCTGCCACTTAAGTCACTAAATGCCTTAGAGTTAAGCTTAAACAAGCAATCAACACCTAAACCCAAGTTCCTATGCAGAAGCAACCAAAAGTAACTGCTTATCCTTCTGTCCTCCTCTTCCTTCAGGCAGTCACTGCTAACATCCAAACCATTGCTCATGATCAACACTAATTTGAGCAGGGCTGCTAGGTCTTGCACTGATGCAATTCCATACAAAAATATTCCTATCCCAGAGACTGCCACACTCATATGGTCTCATTCTCAAGTCCCTGCCTTTCTCCTTTGATCCCTCTCTCTACGCACTTGTCCTTACTGCAATATTGCCTACCTCAAGTCCTCTGTTTTTCTGCTTTCACCTATAAAAGAGCTCTTAGCCCCAAAGTCTTCACAGTAAACACACAGGATGATTATCTGGAAATAACTGTTTCCCTTCAGCTGCCAAGCCTGTCAATGCCACTTGGTTGCCACTTCTCGCTTTGGTGTGAACCAAGATGAATGCTCCAAATTTTTTCATGTGTACAAATCTAAAGAATATAAAACTCTAGATCAAGAACTCTTGAATGAGCAGGTTAGCTTCCCCACAAGTTTATGAGAGAAGACGTTGCACCTCAATAGGAAACAAATGACAGGACACTTAAGGAACTAAGTATTAACATGATTACTTACAAGAGAAGCAGGATTGCTGCAATCATATGTAACAGCATGAGTCTGCAGTTTTCTCCCCAGCATACACTGCTGAGCATAGTCAGACAGTATTTCCAAAGACTGATCAGGGCTGATATAAATAAATGAGGGAAAAAAATAGTAAATAGAAAAATAAGTGGGAAAGAAATAAAAAAATCACAGGAATGTAATCCAATTCTTCAGCATAACTTGACCTCCTCTCCCTCTTTCAACAATTACTGAGGTACCACTACTAGGGTTTGGTTCCATTTTGAAAACCTGAATAATAATAACAGCACTAAGGTTCTATTCCAGTTCATAACAGCTTGTGGATGAAATGGTCTGAATTATTCCTTGCTAGCCCTGGAAGGTAAAAACCAGGAACTGTGGTTTTGCCCTGTGACAAACTGCAATAGAAAAGTTTTCAACTCAGATCCTCAACTGTATGTAAAGATGTCCATTGTTTTCCAAAGGCACCAGAGAAAGTAAAACTTTGCTTTGTGTTTAGAACTCAGCGACCCACACAGCTTTCATTCCCTGAGTTTTGATGGTTCTTCACGGCTAGTAAAAACCTTTCCTTCCAGCTACACTTCTGCTGGAAGACAGAACAGAAATTAAACAAGTTTTCACTTGCACATACTAAAAGCTTTTCCTTTCTGTTCAAAGCAAACCTAAACAAAACCTGGAGCCTTTTAACTGAACACTGTGTTCAGTAAGTTAGCTGACATATAATCTCAATCACTCTATCAAGCTCGCCAAGCTCCTTCCATGCCTTTTTAAAATACATTAAAATACAATGAATAAATTAGGAATACAATAACACTCCTAGAATCCCTACTGTAGTCTTTTTCTTGTAATCCTGACTCCAGTACTGCAAGTTTTCAAATGATGACAGTAGAACTGCAGAATTTAAGTCCATAATATATCTAATCAGACATTTTAAGCTTTCCATCAACACCAAGATGACAGAGAGAAGACTATCTTTGAATGCTTAATGCTATTTTACATGAAAATCTAGCTCATCATCTAATCTTCCCAGAGGTGTGGACCCTTTCACCAACATCCTTAATGATGCTGAAGGATTTTTATTGATGTAACCTTAGAGCTAGAAGACTCTCAATGTATTCTGCAAAGGAAAACGTAGCTTCGTATCAGAAAAGAGAAGACTTATAAACAGTAAAAAAAAAAAAGAAATAAAGGAATTCAGTGTCATGAACTAAACCCACATAAAACCTGGATCTTAAATTTTCCATTTATTTTTGTATCAAGTTCAGATTTTTGTACCAATTCTGTATCCAGGTTAAAGCTGGTTGTTAGGACAGATAAAAAAATTTACCAGCTTCCTACAATAAGAACCAGAGAATTCAGTTCTTTCATCATAAGGACGTGTTTTAAGGCTTTCAGCAAATTGCAGCCTTGACCAGGCTCCAGCTGTTGTATCCACTGTCTTGCTTCATGTAGCCTAGGGAGGGGAAAGAAAGGAATATGTACACTTAATGTGCAGGTGCTAAATAAGATAGATCATGAAGATTACTACAAGCCACAGGAGCTGCTAAGATATTTTATGCATGAACAACCAGCTTGAAATCATTGACTGCACTTAAAATTCACTGATTTTTTTCCCGTCTTACAAATCACTGCAGGCACAAGATGAAAACCACTATTTATTATCTACAAGAGATCGGTCTAATTAAATTGAAATGCCTTTATTTTTCAGAGAAGTGAACTTACTTACACACAAACATTGATGTTTTTTGGACTCTCCCACAGAGGTGAAATTTCTGTACTGAATGAGAGGCAGTACAATTGCTTCTTATAACATAGCTGTTCATCTATTAAGCACTAATAAATAAAAAATTGTTAATGCATTACTATCCATGCTGCTTCTAGTATGGTTATTATGTAAAACAATGAAAATAGCAATTTCCTAAAAATAGCTGACAGCGATATTTTCAGCTACCACAGAGAAAAGTTTCTAACAAAAGTCATACAGATTGAAATATTTGATAAAGAGCACAGAGACAAAACCTGCAAACCTACGGTAATCCAGGCAATTTGTTAGTGGGGCAGGAGGCAGGGAATATTTGTTGTACTGGTATCAGTTTTTATTGATGTAACCTTAGAGCTGATGAGCTGACAAGCACATGAAACAACATACTGATCTAGAATGGGCATATTCACCCACCAAGTAATTACTAAAAAATGTTTAATACATATTCATGGATAGGGCTAAATAATAGTTCAGGTATTAAGGCTAAGCGGACTATGTGGAAATTGAGTTTTCTTGAAGAAGTTTTAAATAAAACACACAAATGAAAACTGCAGATAATATGAATTGATTTTACATAATTTCTGAATGCAGAAAGTTAAATGTTACAAAGTTTCAAAGTTAGATAGTAAACCAGCTACATTATATCTTCCCTCCTTACTAAAAAAGTTTTATAAAATTAAAGAGCACAATAAAGGACAAGTTTATTTTGGGACTTCAGGAAGCGATTAACTCACCAAGGTTCTGACTGAAATTGTGAAGCGTGCCTTGTTTTGACAAAACATAAAGGCATAAGGAAACTATATTCACTATAAATAGCTCTATGTACAACTTGGTTCTAGCTCTTACAGCTGTTTCTGTTAGGCAAGCGTATTCCATAGAGAATGCTGGTACAAGAATTGAGAAACTTCCAAATATTAATAAGGAAAGTTTTATTACTGTTATTATAGCACACACTGGAGTTTGTTTGGATCCAGACATTAACAAAGACTACACTTTCAAAGATATCTAAAATATAGTTTTCTACAACAGAAAACTTTTATTGTATATCATGAATTTAAGCAGATTTTTCTCTACTTAGTTCTTGGCTTGTAGTTACACAAAAGCTTGATTAGTATGTTGTAATTGCCAAAGTTTGCTTTATCATTACTTGCCAAAAGGTCCTTCTGAAAATCCAGTAGTCTAGGACCGTAACTCACATGAGACACATCAACCACAAGTCCAACTTTGGTTCCTTTAATAAGGCCAAACACCTTAAAAGAGAAAAGTCATTGTAAATACTAAGCTTATCTAAGTTTTTAAAATGTTACTGTTTATTCCGTACAACACATTTTAAAAATCAAATATTAGGTATTTATTTTCACTTCAGGCTTTTTAACACAAAGATGACACTGACAAACT